TGAAGGACTCTTGTATTTTGCTTCTGCCAAATCTTCAAGGTATTTTGCTGTCAATATTAAATAATCACATTAATGCCTTAGGGGATTGTATTTTGTGGCACATATTGTTTAAATAAACAACATAATTGTGCGCTTATTGTATAAGCGCTTATCTGTTGTTTAAGGTCTGACTTGGTGAACAAGTTAATTGTGCGCTTATAGTATATAGACTTATCTTGATAAGCGCTTATGTGTAACTTGTAAGCTATTTCTACCAAAAAAAGATAGAGTTAAATTGTTTTCAAATAAGCTATAAGTTGTTTTCATAAGTTATACAGGAGAGCTTATGGAAATAAGCTGAAAAGAACTTATGGACTTATTGTAATTTGTTTACATAAGCTCTCCTGTATAGCGTTTGGTGATAAGCGTGATTATGCCGGTTAATAGACTCAAATAAGTCAATCCAGACAGAGCCTGCCTAATGTATATCTCATTGTTGAACTTGTGCTTTTGATTTACTTAATATCTTCCGGACTTGCAACTTCATTGCAGTGATACACCTATACCAGAGGATGATATCGAGCAGAGTCGACAAATTTCCGAGGGAGACACCAGCAAAGCTCAATTAATGGAGGCACTATGTCACTCTCAAACACGTGCACGGGAAGCCGAGGAAGCAGCGAAACAAGCATATGCGGAGAAAGAGCACATTGTGACACTCATTTTTAAACAGGCTTCACAACTATTTGCCTATAAGCAATTGATTAAACTTCTGCAGCTGGAAACTCTCTGCAATCAGATCAAGACTGATGATCAGTCAACCTCAACTCTCTTTCCGGTTGCTCTGCCATGGATGTCGGATGAACATAGGAAATCACGGAAGAGAAAGCAGACATATTCCAACGGCAGACGTGACAGAAAAGGCAAGGGGAATTGTGATATTACAACGTACGCGGTTGCGATTGCTTTAGGATTGAGTCTTGTTGGGGCAGGCTTGCTATTAGGATGGACTGTGGGTTGGATGTCACCATGTTTATAGTTCTGTAATATATTTGAATCATTCTATTGCTTGTTATAAGTTATCAGATTTGTCTGTATTTTTGTAGAATAGTTATTGCATATACTGTACATTTTGCTTTGTAATTTTGTATTGAGTAGAGATTATGTATGTAAATCTTTCTGTGATGATGATGATGATGATGAAAAACAGCTAGGATTGTATTTATGATTATGAAAATAAATTACATGTTAGTATTAAGACATTATTTATATCTATTCTTTTTTATAAACTCTGACAAATTTATTCAAATAACAAATTATATGTAGTATTGGTATTGAAGATAGAGTGAAAAAAGAGAATTTAAAGTTAGTTTGATAAACAATTTTTTACGATAATTACATTTTTGGTGCTAAATATTTTTTGGTTTTATCAGTAACTATTCTAAGTTGAAATTTTTTACTAACCCAAAATCTTCAATGAAATATCATTTGTTTCCATCTACCAGGTTTGAACCCAAAACTTTTATTTTATTTTAGGGATTTAAGTTTTCACTTTAGAAAATTTAAGGGTTCAAATGACCGTGAGAGATTAAAGTTGAAACTAGATATAATGCCATAGAAAAGATATATTTATCTTTGTATTATACACGTACTAAATTATAATAATTACTTCAAACTTTTTAAGGTTTGTGTATTTTTCATTATATATAATAAAATACTTGTTATTGAAACCTATCTTACATAGAGGTGTCAAATGTGTTGGTCCGCTCCAGAACATTTCAATTCAGTAGACTAAACGTATAAATAAGTTGAGATGGATCGGCCTGATTATTTAATAGACTATTAAAAATGAGAATTTTTTAATGCATCCTATGTATTACTAGAACACCTCGTGAAAATACATTTACGCCTCTAAATTTCAGAGATATATCTCTTGACGCACCAAACAACATACTTCTGAACCAGGTCTTAAATCAGTGGACAGAATTTATCGGAGATACATTTACGTATACATTACGTAGATGCATCTCCGCACGAACCCAAATTCAATACAATTATGGATCAGACCCTAATTCCGCGCAAAAATATTTTGGAGATACATCTCCAAAAGGCTAACGTAGATGCATCTCGGAATGATATTCGTTCCAATACGCATCAAAGCCCCTTCCTCACTTACTCAATCTCTTTCAAAACCCATTTTTCCAAATACTCCCCAACCCACATTATCTCAAACTCAGTCATAACACATTTAAGCAGCATCAAACATCATCAATCTTCATCAAACATTTGACTTCAAACAACATTGAGCAACAACAAACAACTTCAAGACACTCATTGTAAGTTTTTTTGTAAATTTTATTGAGTTTATGTAAAATTTGTGTAGAAGTTAATTTTTAGGTTATGAAGTAGAAAATTTTTAAGTGTTTTGCAGCTTAGACCTAATGAAAAATGAGTTAGACAGGTAGTTTCTATGATCAATACATTATTTTTTATGTTTTATGGCTCTTCATTTCGTCATTGACTATGGTTAAAGTTATAAGAATTTCCGAAGATGCATCTCCAGAATTTTTCAATGTTTATCCAGAAACCAAAGATGCATCTCCGTAAGCAGTATGTCTGTAATATTTTGACTTTTTTGTAAAGAACTCATTGTGCAACGTTTGTATTGTCTATTTACAAGAATTGGCTGATAGACAATCCATATTGAGACACGGTAGGATTGCACAACATGCATCCATTCAGAGGGAAAAGAGTCAACCATCCCAGGCTCCTTCTACCTTTAAACCGGTTGATACAGAGGCGTCAGGTACCAGGGTACATGCATCTCTACCTCTTTCTTCATCTTCCCGTAGTAGGAGAGGGTCCCTTCCTCATACATCCCTGCCTCCATCTTCACATAGACGTTTGAGTTCACCTATTGAGACTCTTGAGGCAACAAAGATACCCGAGTCACCAAAGGTACCTCAAACACTAGAGGCAACTGAGGCACCCCAGGCCCAGGCGACAAAGGTGGAACCTGAGGCATCCTAGGACCAGGGGCCAGAAAAGGCGACACCTAAGTCATCCCAAGCCCATGCAGAAGAGGCACCTCAAGGTTTTGGAGGAGGCCTCTCAGACTTATCACTACTGACTTTTTACCCAAACCATGTTTCCATACATATTTTGGACGAAGAGGTAAAATTTAGTTGGAATTATTTATTTGAAGGTTTATTTGTTTGTTGGAATCATTCTTATTAAACTATGTATGCAGGAACATAATCCGCTAAAATTCATCAACCATGTGTGAAAAATTTATCGCCCGATTCCGCCTAATGAGCTGTGGTTTCATGAAGTTTTGCAGCTATCAGGGATGCGAGACATGTGCAAGATCGATTATGTTATAGTTAACCATGGTATGCTCAATTCGTTTGTAGAGAGATGGCACACAGAGACATCATTATTTAATCTACCACATGGTGGGATGTCTATCACACTGGACGATGTCGCGTGTCAGTTGCATCTTTCAGTTAGAGGGACACTTTTAGATCATGGGAAGGTTACCAAAGACGAGACACTGGAGTTGATGGTAAACTTTCTAGGAGTTGACCCAGAGACTGCCATGGAGGAGTTTGATTTCACCCGTGGGGCTCATCCTAGGTTTAGCTTTTTGAAGAAGGTGTTTACAAATGAGATACTGAGATCACAATAAGTTATTGGTGATAACGAGCAGGTACAACAGTATAAAGGGTATTCTATGAGAGTATACCTGTTGTATTTGATTGGCACTTCCATTTTTATGGACAAGAGTGCCAATTATATGGATGTCATCTACCAGTAGTACTTCGAGGACTTTGAGCGGATCTATGAGTACAACTGAGGGCCGCTTGTTTGGTCTATTTGTACTCTAAGTTATTTAAAGGATGTATGTGGAAGAAGAGGTACATGACCAACAATATCAAACATTTTACGGTAACATTTCTTGGTATTTTAGTGTTTGTGTGTTTTTTTAATCATTACATTATTGCAACACCGTTACTAATTAATGGTTCATGTGTTCCAACACTTTTCAGGCTTGGATCCTCCAACACTTCCCATGTATCTATGGTTGGTCATGTCTAGTGAATTATACTGAGGATTTCCACGTGCTTTTGCATTCTTCCCACTCAGAGGAAACATGGCGACATAGTCATTCATAGTGTATATTGAACGCTTGGTAGTCGAGTATATACACTTTAATTGTTACATTGATCACTATGAGACGATTCCTTTTGATGACATAGTCTTATACTCAGGATGATTGGCTTGCGTGTCATGTTTGATGCCTCTTCTCTTTATCTGCTTGAGCGTGTCATGCATCAGTATGGTTACATGCAGTATATTCTCATATATCCTTCTATGTTTTCTCCTCCCACTATGAAAGATAGAAATATGTATGTCACGTTTGGTGATTATGTTAATTGTTGCATCCTAAATTTTACCTCGAACTTTTCTCATTCGCATTCATATATCCAAATTATTTTTATTAGCATCTCGACACTTTTTCGCGCATTTGCATTGTGTTCGTCTCAATTTGATTTTTATTATATTTTTCTCTTAAATTTTATTTTTGTTCATTTATTTTTAAGAAAATATCAATATATATATATATATATATATATTATATATATATATATATATATATATATATATATATATATATATATATATATATATATATATATATATATATATATATATATATTTGTGTTTCTTTTATTTATTTTTATTTATTTTCTAAGTTTAAGTTTACGTGTTAGTTATTAATGTTATAGAAAAATTGTACATAAAAAAATAATATATGTGTTTAGATTTATTCATTTAAGTTTAGTTTAGTTTTACTTTTAAGAATTAGACTTAATTATTCTTTTGTCTTTTAATTTAATTTCATGTTTCACTTTCATCTCTTATTTAATAAATATTTTTTTTAAGTCCCTCAAATTACACTTTGTTAGTTATATTGATCTTTTCCGTTAAATTTTGTCAAAATCCGTTAATTTTGGTTGATGTGGCACTCCACCTCATTCAAGTATGGTTGACATGGAATTATTTCATTAATATTTTTATTTTATTTATTAAACATTAACTCTCTTTATCCTTACTCCTATCTTCACCAAAATCCTAGCCGTCACTACTCTTTCTCTCTTCTTCCTCTCTCTTTATTCTCTCTTTTCCTTAGCAGGAACCTTCATCAATGTCCATATCTCTTCATTCTCTTCATTAAGTTTTAACTGGATTTATCAAATAACTTTCAACATGTTCATCAACCTCATTTTAGGATTTGTATTTGGGAATCTGGAAGCATCTATGTTTTATCGCGATGGAACAACGTCTGAGCCTGATGAATTTCAGAAGCACCCTTGTTGTTTCTCTTCTGAAGTTAACAGATCTGGTGAAACTATTTCAAAAGGGCATAAGAATTATTAGTTGATTCTTAATTTGAATTTGGGGATTAGGTAAATTATTGTCTCTAGGGATCTTAACTTGATCATTTATATTCTTTTTGTTATTGTTTTTTCTGTGTTTGCCTTTGTTTTTTTTAATGTCGGTCATGTTTTGTATATGTATATGATTGGCAAGGAAACGTCTAAATTGCAAGGGCTTAAATCTAGGGATTTTGAATCTAAGGAGAAGTTCTGAAAAAAGTTCATGCTCTGAAGAACTTTATGGAAGTATAAAGTTTTTATTAACTTCCTATTTTCTCATTTCATTTAGTTTAATGGCAGGGATGAAATACTTAAGATGACATGTCGGTGATAATATTAAAGGGTTTTAGTACTGGAAAAGGACACCATTGTACAAAAGTTTTTAAAGCACATGTTCTTATGTTTCTTTAACTAATTCTACTCTAATATACCTTTTTATTGGTCTAAATATTTTACACAAATTAGATTATGAGAGATACATCTTCATATGACTCAAAATCACTAGGTTTTAGGGCGAAGAGGATAAAAAGCTAATTGACTAAAGAACAAACAAAGAGATGATTCTTGTATTGTTGTAATTTATTTTTATGACAGTTTAATGGTTGAATCCAAATTATTTATGATTACTTATATGATTACTTTTATGATTGTTTTATGATTACATTTGAGAAATGAAGGATGAAGATGAAATGCTGATCCAGGACCGGCCCAACGTAATATGAGACCTAAGGCGACTATTAAAACGAGACTTATTTTTTATCCACTATAATTAAATATTTGATTTTTAGAAGTTCTAAGATTTTTTACGACTAATTTTTTAACATTTATTATGAAATTAATCTTAATTTTGGTAGTTAAATATTTACATTTTTTTATTAAAGTTGAATTATCTTCAAAATTAAAAATTAAATATAAAATTCTTTTTAAATTGAATAATAAAATTTAAAAGCCATTAGGTCTAATAAAAAAAGATGGTAAATTTTTGTTTTGTTTTGTAGCTCTACAAAGAGTTGAATACAAGACCTTACACATTAAATATCATTTGCTTACCAACTAAATTAAGCATATAACTACTTTTTTTTTTTTTTTACTTAAAAACATACTTAATTTTAATTTTTTGAGGCCTATATCACCTTTTAGAAAAAATAATTTTTTTGAGGCTCAAGCCGAGGGTCTAACCCGCCTTACTATTGGGTCGGCCCTGTGTTGATCATGCTTCAGTTGAGATTTATTTATCAACATTGCAATTGGAATTAGTTTTATTTTTGGATTAGGCTAATTATTTATGCATATTATTAATATCTTTGTTTAGGAAATTATGTATTTATTAAATTTATTATAGCAAATGTAAGAAGGAAATAAACCAGTATAGTACTATTGTCAATAAAAGATTACATTCTATCAAATTTATTCATACGGGTAGTTATATATTTTTATACATTTTTAATGATTTACAGGAATTTTTAACCTCCAAAAATAAAACCCCACAGTTTAAATAAAATATTATTATTTTTAATACACATGCTGAGTTACAAATGCATATTAATCTTTGCTGTCATGTCACATCAATAACTTAAGATTTTCGCAGCTAAATTAACGAAATAGACCAAATTAATTAATAAAAATATTATTAAAGGACCTATTTATAACGTTTATTACATAAGAGATCAAATTAAAATATAAAATTAAATTATGAAACTTCAGAACAAAATAAACCAAAGAATTATAAGAAAGATTTATATATATATATATATATATATATATATATATATATATATATATATATATATATATATATATATATATATAAATTTATTTGTTTACTTTATTTAGTTTTGTTTATCATAAGAAAAAATGGATTTAAAAAAATTGTAATTTTGTTTTATATTTAATTTTTTTATATAGCAAAATATCTTGACATAAGGGTCTAAATTGGATAAGGTTTTGGAGGTGTTTGTTTGTTATAAGAAAGAGGCAGAGAGATCGAAGAGAGGGGAAAACGGCGCCTCTTCACTCCATCTTGATTGCTCCTTCTCCCAGACCGTTATCCGCACAACAACGCACCGTAACCCTTCGTTCTTCATTCTCTCTACACCGTACATTCACCATCCCGTTATCTTCACCGTCTTCAACTCACCGTGAAACTTCCTACGCCACTGATTCGTCACGAAGCATCAATAAAAGCAACAGCTCGATATCGACTCAACTTCACCGCCATCACGCATCCGCATTCATCTCTGTTCGTGACAACTCCGCTTCTGTTCGGTAATTTTTTATCCTTTTTCGATTGTGTTTGTTTGAATTTGCATGACTATGATGCTGTTATAATTTCTGTGGAGATGACTATGTTGGATTGTGAAAAATACAGTTAGTGTTAAATTCTGCGTAATTGTGTTGGGATAGGATGATAGTGTTAGAATGTTTTGTTTTAATTCGGATTGAAGTCTCGACTCGATTGTGTTGAGTTTGAATTTAATGATGTGTCATGTGTTTGAATCGATACGAAAGAGTTTTTGGATGACATTTAGTTCCATTTGATTTTGAATTTACATGAGAAATTTTAGTTGTGATGTCTTTGGTTTTCTGATTGCCTTTGCGCATTTTTCAGATGAAATTCGGAGTACTATTTCGTTCATATAGTTGTTGTCCGAAATTTGACTTATTGGTTAAAATCTTGATTTTGGTGTCATTTTGATTTGAATCAATTCGAATGAATAGTTAATGATGTATTGATTGTATTTCGTTTTGAATTCAAACGATGAAATCTTGGTTGCGATAGCGATGTTTTGCCAGTAGTGTTTGAATGATTTAAATTGATGGTTGCTCGGATTTGATTTGTTTGATCTTAGCTTGTTTCGAAATCATTTTTCTATGTTTCAATTTTGGTTTGAATGATAGCATGAGTTTCCTTGGTTTTAGTTTCATTTGTGAATTGAAATCTTTGAATAATCATTTACTAGGTTCTTGAATTGTTCGTGTGCATCATACAAGTTCATTTCGATTTTATTATCTTGTGTTACTAACTTGTTTGTTGGTTTGTGCAAGTTCTCAAGACGGATCAAGTAGCCGCTTCCGCTTCACAACTTTTATTCGCTTTTAATTGATTAATCTAGCGTTGATTTATTTACTTGATTTTGTTATTAAAAATGAATTAGTTCACTAATTTATTTTTCTTAACTCGATTAATTAAGTTAGTAAATTCTTGATTAATCGATTAAAACTCTCATTTCATCTTAATTTTATTTTGTTGCTTTTAGTTAATTAATTAAAAGTCGATTTAGTTATTTAATTTCGTTATTAAAAATTAATTAGTTTTGACTAATTAATTTTTCTTAACTCAATTAATTAGCTTAATCAACTTTTAAGTTAATTAATTAAGCATTCATTTTAATATTTCATTTGTTCCATTTTAGCTTTGATACAAATTTCTAGTCTGCTTGGGCTCGGTTTTCATTTCACATGAGATATTCGAATTATTTCTCTTTTATACTGGTTTCGTCTATCTATTGGAATCTTATCTGATACAGTGACTTTTATCCGGCACTTTGAGCCTTTATCTGACATCTTGAGCCTTTATCTGACATCTTGAGCTTACTTGGTGTATTTTCCCGACTTGTGATTTATTTTCACCTGATGCGTTTTATCCGCTGCTTTGAGTATTATTTGATGCCTTGGGTTTTTTTGATGTTGTCTGTGATTTATGTTCACCTGAGGTTTGATATACTCTTGGCTAATTTATCTACTTCTGGCTTTAAATCCAAAGAGATGAAAATATTGTATTGACTTCTTTATGTCAAATATTGACTTCTTACTTGGTTATTGTTTCTTTCCTACCTTTTATTTTCCTGCACATAGGATTCTCTTCATCTCCTATCCCATTCTTCAATTTTCAAAATCTTCTTATCTTTTTCAAAACTTTTGTTTTTTAAACTTTATTCGCTTTAATAATAAACATTGACTTTGTCAAGTGTCTTTTTCAAACTTCTTTTTTTAATAAATACTAAACCACATAAACATATTCAAGCACTTTTCAAAAAGACAAAAACATTTAACCTCATTCAATTTTTTTTGTACGCTCGAACACCTTTTATTCTTTAAAATATTTTCCAATATTAGACGTGATTCATTTATAGTTGAGATACCATCCTCTTATTCCCATGATTATAAATGTGTCGATTTTTCCACTTGAGTGTCAGAGGCGTTTCCAGACCCTCCACATGTTGATGTACGATCCATGTTTTTCGTATCTTGTGGGCGATTAGTTGAGATTTCTCTCTTAAAAATGATGATTCGTCTCTTCATTTAAAATCAACCAACAGACAAGTCTTTTTTAGGAGAACTACGAATGTCTTGTCCCTTATTGCACGAAGGGGGTACGTAGACACAAATGTTCGCAACCGCGACAGGCGCAATAATAAAAAATATTTTCTTTTGTTTTGTAAATACTCTTTCATTCATTCCCTTTAGCAAATAAGCCTTTAGATAACACACTCTTTAAAAAAAACAAAGTGGATCCTGCGGAGTATCGTAGATGCTTAGGATGCTAATATCTTCCCTCTGCATATCCGACCCTCATACCTTGATCTCTATTTTATTTTATTTTAGGTTTTGTTTACTTTTTTTTCTTCTTATTTTCCCTTTGGAAACAATAAAGTGTAGTGACGACTTCATTGTGTGAGTTAAGTCAATTAATGACTTAGTCTCAAATTTTTACCGCTATATTTTTCGCATATATCCTTTTGTGTCTGCTCCTCCCACTATGAAAGATGTAAATATGTATGTCATGTTTGGTGATTATGTTAATCACGTGGTACCAGATGAGGCATAGAGCCATAGCTCAGAGTGATTAGAGCTACACAGACGGTTACATCAAATGGTTTTTTTGGATGCCACATCCTTATATGGCACATGATGCTCCATGAGATTCACTGAGATCAGCTCATCAAGAGATACTAGAGGAGGAGCAAGCTATGCAAGATCATGTTTTTAATGTGTTGCCTAGATATCATCGTATCATGAAGATTGAACACACATGTATTGACAGATGACTCTTTCTAGATGGATCTAAGGCGAAGGGCGTTATCGATGACATGATGGCGGAGGCTCGAGAGACTCTGCAATACATGAGACAATGCAGGAATATGGGAGCATGAGACAGAGGCCGACTTCGAGTCTGTCATATACAGTAGATTATACTACTTATACTTTTGATATATTTTGGGTTGTATTTTATTTATCGACTCCGTTATAATTTTTTGATTAAATTTATATACTCTTGACTTATAACTTTATATATGTCATTTCTCCATAGATTTAGGATTGTCAAATCACTAAAAATCAATCAGAATTTATTTCAGGTACATAGGGTGGCTTAAGTTGTTGTATCTCTGAAACTATTTACCTCCTAAAATTAATCAGAATTAAGTAGAACTTAATACAGAGATACATCTCTGAATGCTGCACGTAGATGTATCTCTGAAGCTATCTAACGCTTATCAAATAAAGAAGCTTTCGAAGATGCATCTCCAAAACAAACTAACATTTAACAAAAAAATGTGCGTCCTGAGATACATCTCCGAAAACTGAGGGTCATTTTTGAAATTACATAGGGTCATTTTTAGGTACATATGGTGGCTTAAGAAACTCCCCTAAAAATGAGCTCGACCTAGTTTCGAATGGTCATGTGGCCCGATGGGCCAACCCGATCTATATTTCATTATTATAGTTTTAATTTTATAAAAGGAGTTTAATAGACAAAAGTTGTATAACATAAGTAAAGAGTAATCATAAACTTAATTAAGTGTTATTTAAAATATTCATCAAATTAACATCCATGAATATATGAATGCAACAGAAACATATATGTAGAAGTAATTAGTAACTGAATATCATCTCCAATACTTCTCAAATTTTCTCTTAATCTCAACCATTTCTTTGATCACATCATCTTGAAAACATATTTTCACCCTCTTTAACTTTTCTTTATAACTTGAGAATACACTTATGCAATATCTTTGCTCTTTTTTCCTCAAAATTAACTAAAATTATTATAAATTTTTTAATGGGCTAGCCTGAAGCCCACTTGGCTGACCGAGCCCGACTCTTGAAATATGTAGCTCTGATGGGCTAGGTCAAAAAGATAGGTTCGTGTTTTATTAAGGTTTTTCAGCGGACCCGCAATAAAGTATAAGGCTTATGGGTCGGCCCGATGGGATGGGCTCATTTTTGTAGATGCATATTCCTAGGGGAAGTTGGTTGCATGTCCTTATTGAAGGTGTGAAAAAACACAAGAAATGAGGGTTTGAATTGGGTTTCAAATCAAAAACTTTTCCAAAAAAAATTCCCATTAACTAAAAATAGTTTTCTTCACTATTGATAATAAAGCTAAGAATGCAAGAAGGAAAGAACATGTTATGTTTATACTAGTTCACTTGAAAATTATCAAGCTAATCTAGTCCACCCGCCAAAATGATTTCGTCTTTATCAAACAAGGTCTTAATCCAATAATCTCACAGATTATTACAATGCACAAGCTAACTGCAAGTGACTCACATACAATCTCTAAGACACACTAATCTTGGATTTCTAAAAGATTATGAACAACTGGTCCCTTAAGGCACAATCAAACAACATTTTGAAAAATATTTGTTTATAATAGATTTTCTTTTACACTAGATGATAGTAAACGGTATTTCAAGAATAATAGACTTAAGAAAATAAAGGAATGCTTATGAACAACCTCGTGAGAGAATATGTGAATTAGCATCCTTTTGCTTTAGTCTTCAAGCATATATATATATATATATATATATATATATATATATATATATATATATATATATATATATATATATATATATATATATATATATATATATATATATATATATAGCCAATAAAATAATATATTTGTTGGAGGGTATTTCTGGAAATTCGAGAAAGCTGGAAGCTTGATTCTACATAGGAGACAAGTTCGTACAATGCGTCCGTCCTTTCATGGTAGTGGAGAAAAAAGTTTGTTTGTACCATATACTATTATACCACGTAACTTTATCTTCTTATCTTCTTGACTTTATAGGCTTCTGACTGAGCATGAGTTAGAAGAAGGAAAATAACGCTTGTGTCATCAAAACTTCAAGTGTTCAGAGTCTTCAACACTTGGTCTTCAAAATCCTTTGTCTTTAGAAATATAAGTCTTCAGCATATGGGCTTGTTCATCATAACTTATGTCTTCAAATCTTCATAACTTGGTTTCTTTGACCGCGTATCAGAGTCCAAACTTCATAACATTCTGAAGTGGTTTGTTACTGTTCATCAGAACTTGTGTAGCGCAGAAGCGGAAATTGGTCTCTCCTAATGACTTGGCAACGCCTTTCATCAGAAACAAAACCTGTTTGTTAAATACTAAAAATAACAAACATTATAGTACCAAAATTGTTTATACTCATTGTTATCATCAAAACTCAGAGATATAATTGCAGAACCAAATCTTATTCTAACAATCTCCCCCTTTTTGATAATGACAAAACTATGTATTTTGATGACACAATTTTGTACATAATCAAGAAAAGTATAAAACATAAGAAGGATAATAAATACTTATCATTTATATGAAACTCCCCTTGAATCTAAGATTTAGTAAAGATCATATATCCTGATTATGAACCGCGTGGGTAAAACTCCCCCTGGTTGCAATAGATCAGATATTGAGATCTTGAGAGTCTTGATTCTTGATGTCAATCATGCCAATTGAGATCTTGAACCCTTGGTGTCATGAAAAACAGATTCCAGATTTCAATTCAGAGCCTGATTATGAACTTAACACTTCTCAGAGTCTGATTCCAATCAGAGTTCTTGATTCCTGAAAAAGAAAACAATTCTAACAGAAACAAAAGTTTATCTTGGTTAAAATGTAAGCATCTCCCCTTATTTCAGAGTAGTTTTTTTTAGAGAATTTGATTATAGAATCAAAATATTACTTCAGTTATTTACTCCCCCTTTTTTTCATAATAAAAAAGGTAATTATGTGTGAAAAACATAAAAACATAAGAAGTAAGAGAAGAGACGGTGAAAAGAAAATAAGAAGAGAAAGAAGTAAAA